ATGGCGAAATTATATATTTAGAAAACAAAGGAATGATGCAGCAACATTTTAGTGAATGAAATATTAAAATGAACAACAACAAAAAACCATCGCTGAGCTGTTAAAAAATAAAGAGGTTGAATCAATGGCAGTGCAGTATGCTATGTAATCCTGTTCCCACTCTAGAAATAGAATTTTACCAATTTGTTTGCAATAAAACAGACAATGGTTTGACAATATGATATTGGAAACTAAATCTAGAATTGAATGAAACCAATAAATATTGATTCCATAACTAAAGCTGAAATTGATTTTTCTCAGGAAAAAGGCATTTGTGAAGTCGAAGGAATGCAGTGAACCGTAAGCGCTGTATGGCACACTGACTCTGTAAGGAGCATCCAAGTTGAGCATGCATTGAAACAGTCATCTACTGTAATTAAAAACGACCCCCTTTCTCTTTGATTTTCTACCTTTGCAATAGCATCAGATAAAGGATCCTTATCATCATTAACTATTTGATCTCTTTGATAGATTCATGAAGTAATCAGATATGTTTGGAATATAATATACTTTCCTAAATAATGCTGTGACAGCTATTCTAGAGTTTCAGTCTACAGCAAATGAATAGCTAAAGATTACAAGGTTCGTAAACTATGCTGGTGAAATGCATATGATCATTAAATCATTTTTTCGGCTAGAGGTCCCTCGCAATGCTTAGAATGCGCCTTCATAGAAGGATGTGTCATGGGAATATTTATGGTATGAGATTTTTTCAGAAGATAACGTGTGTGTTGGATCAAGTTACTCCTGCATCTCATTCAAATCATCAAACTGATTCTGAAAGGGTTTAAAGGGAACCGGTAACTTTGTCTTAGATCCTTTTAAAAAATCCTTGATTTAGCTCATGCTGCAAAGATAGTTATAAACCTTTAGGTCAGTCAGGAACCCCATGACTTTTACAAGCCGATCGCCTGTCTGATTATCAAAATATTTATGATTGAAAATCAAAATCAAATTTTGCGTTTGCCAAACAGTTTTCATAACACTACAGTCTATTGCGGAAAACAAGTATGGTAAAACCGATCACTCAAAGGTTTTTACTTTTTTGAGGCACTTCTTGATCATTTTGAAGAGCAATTTTTTTAGGGCTTCAGTATATGACACCAACACCATATGACAGACACTGACAACACGTGGGGCCGTGCATCTCAGATTAAACATTGTTAAATGATCCCTTTAAAGGGATATCTGTCTTCCTAACCTGAGTTAATGGCTCAATCCACCATTTAAAATTTTAATTGTATCTGCCTAAGAATTACAGATAACTGATCCTCCGACCCTGCATAAAACCCTCCTAATAAAAGCTTTCCATCTCAATAAATCAATTTCATTTGAAACCTTGAACTCAATGCTAAGTGCTTTTCTGATTGTTAATTGAATGAAACATTTTGTGATGAAATTAGGAGAGCAAGGTGAAACTATGATTGAAAATGAAGGTTGGGGCAATATATATACATGTACAAATGTCTAAATTGAGTACCTTAACCCAATAAAAAGCAGTTGCATGCCTATGCTGGCGGGGGGGGGGGGGGGGGGGGGGGGCTCCACAAATGACAGCCCCCCCCCCCTCGAATGGCAAACAAAAATTGAATAAAGATAGGAGAGGGAAAGAAAGGGAGAGGGTAAGGCAACATGAGAAGAAGATGATACCTCCTCCTCCCCCCCCCCCCCCACCCCCTCAATGGCTGCACACAGCTATGCCATGGTTAACAGGCATTGGACTTTTTACTGTCACTTCATTACAAGACCAACATCAATCTTCTAAATTTGCCTTCAACATCCTTAAGCCAATGCCCAAATAAATATACTCGTACATCATCTGGCAGTTTTCCCTTCACTGGTGTAAAGCACATTTTTGTCCATATCCCTATCATATTTTGTTGATTTAAAATTGAATTTTAATTTGATAAATTCCAGAAAAACTCACTATATTTAAAGCTGCTATCTGCAGAGCTGTTTAAGAGATTGTGAAGCTGAAGGTGGTGTATGCAGAGGTGACATTACCTAATTTATTTCCTAGTCATGTCATAACCACCCCAGCCTCCAACCTACATGAATGTATGTAACTCATCATTGAATGAACAATCAATTCTTCAAGACTCTCTCATCCTCTAATTACTCATACGGCACATGCAGAATGCAAAACGATCGAGGGAGAACTCAATGGTATTTGCTGAACATGTAAATGATGTTGAGCAATGCATGCATCATTAATTTTGACCCATTGAACTTATCGAACCAGAAAAGTGAAATATGAGTGAGTAGCGTGTATATCCCATAAACGCACCCATCAGACTATAGGCAAATTTGCTAGGGTGCTGAGGATTCTTGCACTAGTATCAACTTTCTGGTTTCTAATCTTGACACCGTAAATGTAGTGAAAACATAAAATCGTAATAAAAATATACTTGATAAGAAATAAAATCACATGTAGTCCATCTAGCTAAACAAATATTTGATGGGTGAAATTACAGTTGTCTGAATATTGGTTATTTTCAGAATTCTCTGTAGGGCTGCAGCCAACCCTCCCCCCCCCCTACTTCTACCTTGTAGACCCATGCTTCAGAGCGTACACAAACTACATGTATTGGTGATTCAAACACACGTTATGAAAAGAAATCATTGGATCTCTGACTCAAGATAAATTGGAAATTTGAAGAAAAAAAAGTTATCATGATATTGCCAGTAATCAGAGGACTAAACGTGCAAAAAGAATCATCAGAGGCCAGTGCTTTGTTGGTGACAGTAACAAGCATACAGGATTGTACAAAAATTCTATGATAATTCTACTGTACACAACAGCCGCAGTTCTAGAATTACAATGGGGGGGGGGGGGGGGGTGGGGGGGCTTCTTGGGATTCATTTTCTCACATACCTTGCTTAAATTTACAAATATACCGAAGGTTAGATTTTTTAATTTTTAATTTATTTATTTATTTAATTTTTAAATTTGTTTATTCTTTTTAGTATTATTATTATTATTTATTTATTTATTTATTTATTTATTTATTTATTTATTTTTATTATTATTATTATTATTATTATTTTTTTTGGGGGGGGGTAGGGGTTGAGCCCCCTAGCCTCCCCCCTCCCCTCTAGAAATGCTATTGACTGACAAGGGTAATAGAAGCATATACTGTTTTTCAAAATGAAAAAAAAACAAAATGCTTTCGTCCTCCCTATAACCACCCCTAGGATAGTGTTCAGTTTAAATGTCACTCTACTTAAACTAGTGTAATCAGTACCTGCTTATAAACTGTGATCAAACAACATTACACTTTTCTCTACCTTCTGCCCTGAAATTTATCAGCATTTCACCAATTTATCCATTTCCAAGTCAAAAATTAATTAGGTCACTGGGGGCATTATTGAGTTTGGCAGAGCTGCAATATCTAAACCTTGAACTGTGAGCGTTTCAAAACATCTATATACCATAAAGGGTGTGCGTGTGTGTGTCGTCCGCTGATTAAAATCATATCTAATTGAGCTTTAGAAATAGAGGCCTTGAATTAGTGTCAGTCTCAGTGGAGGGAGAAGGTCAACAGCGAGGGCTGATCTCTGAAGGTCATAAGGGTCCACCCCCTGCCCTTTGTGTCAGAGCTCTGCTGCATTTTATTTGGACCCCCCCTTTAAAGTTTGATTTGATTTATTTACCAGCAGGCAACAGTAATACATTTCATACAATGATGTTCCCATTTGAAGAGTTGAGTTCCCAAAGGAGCTGAATCCATTTTTGAAACTTCAGAGAAAATCGAAATCGTTTACCAGATTTTGTACACGCATCTATGGAAAAGTGATATTGAAAGGTGCATTTATTCATAATTGCTCCCAAAATTTAGGTAAATAATGTTCTTGAAAGATGGGTACTTAGGTGAACAATGTTCTGATATCAATAACTCAATTTTCATCAGAAGTGGATTTAGCTCCATTTGGAATTAAAGTATAAACTCTTCAAATATACAAGAAGAGAAACTATTGATTGATAAAATGGGCCAGAGTGCTTGTACATCTTTATTATCTTCCTTTCATTTATTTTTATTCATCAGAATTAATAAGGGTAATACTGTCAATCCCCCCCCCCCCCTAACAAAAGGGAAAATTCCCCTTTTAATCAAATTTGAACCCCTTTCATTAATATTATTATTTAATTTGTATTTGGCAAGAAAGAAAAATACTTAGAGAATTAGAAAACAGGCAATAGAGCAAGTATAGATAAAAGATAATACAACTAATAATAATATAATTTTAGTAATCATGGTATAAGCAACCTTTGCTTTTGGAATGCAGATGATGATGATCAATGATAATAGCACCAATAATATCAAATAAATATGTTTGAATATGATGATAGGCTTATACTTATCATTATTATTGTTACTATTATTATCATTATAATTATCATCACAATCATCATCGTCTTCATTTTCATCATCATTGTTATTATATTATCAATATTGTTATTTTATTATTATTATCATTATAATTATCATATATTATCATCATCATTACCATCATCATCATCATCATCATCTTAATCTTCATCTTAATCTTCATCTTCATCATCATCATATGACATATCCACAGAAAGCATTATACTTGGGCCTATATATTCCCAAAGTCTGAAAATCTGCTCCAACTGGTAAAGCTGCAAACACCCTCAAAGGCTCAAACAATGTGTAGGCAGAGCTCGAGAATGGGTGTTTGCGAGGCTCGGAAGATATAGGCTTATCACTGACACAAAAACAAAGCAAGCCAATTAACAAGAACAACAACACCGAAGTGACGTAATATATTCGTCCCTGATCAAGTCAAGGTGCCTAATTACGAACCACGTACCCGCGCGCCGCCCTACGTTCCGGGCCAAGACATTGGCGCCGTCCGCTGACGAAGAATGAAGACGTGTGCAGGTGGGTACATTTATTTACAGTTCAATAATAACAAGACACAAAGAAATGACATACCTTAGATCTTAGACATGAAAATGTTTCATGTCCACTAGCCATATTCGTCTATTTATATGAGGTCACTAGCTGGTCAGGCTTTCGATGTATTTAAAAATAACGGAGAATACGCAGCCTAGATCAAGCCCAGGATTTCCAGACACACCTGCGCTGCTGTCGCTATACTTTGCTGTAACTGTGTTAGACCATAGACGAGGCTAGGTAGGCATGCAGTACACATAGGTTTCGTTTCTTGGGGAATCTTGGGGAGATCTTTAGAAGAAAAGAAAAAAATAAAATCAATATTCAAGAGCACTCATCTGTCTACCGAGAGAGTAGAGTGAAAAGAGATGGCGCTATACTACTTACTCCCAAATTCCCACATTGACTACTGTCAAACCCGTCACGAAAATGTCGAAAAGAAAAGAAAAGAAAACACGAAAAGAGCAATCGGGAGAACGAAAGGAAGAGGGGAGAGGATAAGATAATGAGATGGTAGGACCCCTCCCGCATCCTCGTCTAACTCTAAACAAGGCCGTTGTTAATTCACATTTTATTATCCGAGTAAGATCAGTGCCGACTCCCACCCCGCACCCGATTTCATGGCCCTAATTCAATGAATGGACAGACATAATAAATAAACAAAAACTAGAGATACATATACAATAGTGTTTTTTTTTCTTGAATTATTTAATATCTGTTAATATTAGAACGCTAAACAGATCGAGAATCTCTTCCTCTCTCTCTCTCTCTCTCTCTCTCTCTCTCTCTCTCATTTTTTCTCTCTCTCTCACTCACTCTACCTTTCACTCTCTCACAGACACAAGTCATACACTTTTTTTTTATCTCTCTTCCCTCCCCTTCTCTAAGTCTCTTTCTCCCCTCATCTCCCAGTTTCTCTTTCCCCCACTCCTTTCTTTCTCTCTCTCTCTCTCTCTCTCTCTCTCTCTCTTTCTCCCTCTCTCTCTCTCTCTCTCTCTCTCTTTTCCCTCTCCCTTTCTCTCTCTCTCTCTCTGTCTGTCTGTCTGCCTGCCTCTCTCTCTCCCCCTATAATTATATTGTTTATTTGAATCATGTTCTATTGATGTAAATCAATCAATATGAAGCTCGGATTTATTATTGATTCGATATGCCTATAACACCCCAAAGTTTATTAAGGTCTGTTTTACACAAAATTAATCACTAAGTTCATCACTGGCGACACATAGGCACCCTGATTAGTGCATTGTGTTGAAATGGCTCGGTCTGTTCAAGTGAATCAATATTAACATTACTGTGAAGCAAAACATTGCTGCTAGTTGACATTATGAACATTGTGTATGCTCAGTGTTTGTTTTGATATGTTTTCTTTTGTTTCTTTTCTTTGTGTTTCTTTGCTTGTATTGTTTATTTTTAAAACATTAATCTGCCCCCCCCCCCCTCTACCCTCCAACCGCCCCTAATTCATTCTTTCTTAAAATCTTGCGTTCACCTTTGTAATACCACATCTAAGTCACTCATGAATATTCATTATGCTATATTTATATTGTTTAGTACCTGAATCAATATGACATCATAACGGACTATTCGTATCCGTATCCGTTTTCCATTCTCGTCGCTAGCCGATCGATGTCCAAACTATTGATCACTTTTCCAGACGATATCTTTAGAGCAAAATGTTCAATCGATGTGTGCTTCAGCGGAAATACGAGACAGACGGCACGCACCTTAAAGGCTTAGTATTATTACATGTATTTGTATTTCTGTTGGATGTTGTTTGTTTGTTGTTGTTTTTTTGTCTATCTGTTTGTTGGTTGTTTTTTTGTTTTATTCTTTTCCTCAGAAATTGAGGTGCTAAACATGAAAGGAAAATGTAAAGCATCAAAAACAAAATGGTGTAGTTTAACCAATGTTCAATTGTTTAGAATGCAAGTTTTTCATCAAACATAAATTCAAAAGGTTGAATATAATTTATTTAGCATAAATTTAATGAAGTTGCAGAGTCCGGTTTACGAATAGCCACTGAAGAGTCCAACTAAGAATAGTAACCATAATGATAATGTGAATGGTATATGCCTTAGAATGCATTGATTTAATTTCAATTTATATTTTCACTACAAATTTTGTTTTCCAGAAATATTTCATTTATGGCGTGGCTAAGTCTGTCTGTACTGATGTTGTTTTAATTTCAATTACTATTTTTTTAATTATATTTATAGGGGCAGATTTTACCACTGCCTACTGTTACTTTTTAGAGCTGGTTGTTCCTAACTTTCTTTAAGATTTAAGTAAACAGTCGTGTACATTTCTTGTGTGTCGTAGTTTGTCCTAAAATGTATTATAAAAAAGAGCTGTGAATTTTGACCCCCGTATTACCCACTGAACACTATTCAATTACAATCATTGCCAGGTATAGCGCCATCTACGGCAAGACAAAATCGAAACAGCAACAACAAAAATAGAAGACAGCACATAATAAGCAAAAACGAGCTTCGCCTGGCGGGGGCTACTATTTTAAATTCAGAGTCAACTATAATAGAAAGAATTATTCTAGAAAGAAAAATAAAATTGAAAGAATTAAAAATGCAAATCCAAGGCTGTATAATTCGTACGTGGAATATATAATGCTATAAGAAGTTATTATCCTTTATAAATTTCCTTAAATCTTCCTTCCGTAAAGCTTATAAATACCGAGAAAAAATTATGCGTAACATAATTTATATATTGACGAAAAAATAGTGGGCATTCAATCTAAGAAACATAATTATCCCGTCCTGAACTGCTTGATCCACGGAAGTTTATCAGTAAACATACGAGCTACCCGCGTAAATGATGCCGTAATTAAAGCCAAGTCTGTCTGGTTCTTCCGGAGATAATAAGCTCATTCTATGAAGTATTAATGAGCGGAAAGAGTCCACCATAAGTTTAGTTTTCAAGAAAATGATGGACGATATAATATTTTCTTGCAAGATGATTTAAAACGAGGAACCGTCCTAATCTCTTTAGATAAGCATTCCCCGAGTTCTGAGGCATGGTATGTCCTTCCCCTTCTGATGATGTTTTCCAACTTTTCCTCGTCTAAATATGTTTCTTCTTTTCCTTCCTCTTAGTCTTAATCCTATATCTTCTTTCCTTCTTTTTTCTAATTCCGATGAGATTAGGAGAGGATATAAGATAAGAGAGTGAGAGAGAGAGAGAGAGAGAGAGAGAGAGAATGGTACATATGACATTTGCATTCATTCATAGGAAACAGAGAGGGAGATAAAGGGATAGAGATACATTTTGTACCAATTAGAATGACCTTCTTCTTCCAGACGTTATTGAGCTGATGAACAAGGACAGACATAGCGATGAAACTGTGTTATTGTGTCGTAGATTCAGAATTCCGGGAAGTCTACATCTAGGTATAGAACAAACGCATTGAGAGCATGGTGGAATTTTACAGATATACTTGAATTGTGTGTCGTACTGGAGTAGTGGCGTACTGGCGCGCCATGGCGTAGCTACCAGGAGGCAGAGGGCACATCGAGTGGTGAAGCATGAAAAAAGAAAGAAAAGCCGAGATATATAAAAGAGAGAAAGGGAACGTGAGAAGGGGGGGGGGGGGGGGGCGACAGAAGAAAACGCCTGGATCACCTCCCGTACCCTCAACGTAATCAGCATGATAAATAGCCTTGTTAATATTCATTTCATTTTCGTGCCCCCCCCCCGTTGTTCCAGTGCCTTCTCAATGGTTGAATATACGCTACGCCACCGTCGGGGGGGGGGGGGTGGGGGGCTGATCCGGAGTCAAGCCCTCTATCACGTTTGTTGTAGGTTCCAGGGTTGAAGTTAGGAATTGACAAGGTCTATAGTACAAGAACTTGAAAAAAGAGAATGCATTATAAAGCACTGAAAACATTATCAGTGGAGGATTTAAAGGGCCAGAACCGGTTTGCACCTCTTTCTATAACGCAAACTTTAATTAGCTATACACACAAAATATGCCCCTCTCCCCCATTCTATTCTTGTGCTCACTCCAAAAAGCGCCCGAAAAAGTAAAACCTCCTTTTCGCTTGTCCGGTAATTTTCGAGAGATTTTGCACGTCGCCCCCACCCTCTGGTAATACATTATACAAATGATATGGAAATTATTTCGTATCAACATCATCATCAAGATGTTTATGAAAAGAAACAACCCGACCAAATTTAAAAAAAAGGAAGAAGGAAATACACATTTTTTTCTTAAAGGAATTAAAAAGTATGAAAGCCAGACCTGGATGTTTCCTAGAATTGATATAAAGCAAGGTCCTATCAAAACCGAAAGGACGCTGAGGCGCTAACAATGATAAAAGATTACTTAGGTTGGGTCTACAGCCATTGTGGCGATTCTATAGGTTGAGGAGATATGGGGGTTGGGTGCGAGGGTGCGAACGGTCGTGTCATCTAATATGTTCACTTCTTTCTCCCGCTTTTTGTTTGGAAGAAAAGGGGAGGGGGCATTCGATGAGGAAGTAGACATGTCACCCCCCCCCCCCCAAAAAAAAAGGTACTGTGATTTGCGTCACACCTCCTCTAATGATTCCATTTGTAAATTAAATGCTACTGACAAAATGATATTAAAAGAAGAAAAACAACAGCGAACAATTAAAACGTTTGTGCTGGCGAAAATGAGACAACCGGAGCAATATGAAATAACAAAAATGACATTAATAACAACGAAAAAATAAGAGTAAAACATGACAACAACAACAACAACAACGAACTATTACAAAGATAACAAAAAATGATAAAGGTACCTCTAGATCATAATTGTAAGGTTTGCGAATGTAGACTACACCGATAGCATGATGGAGTTTTCCATTCTTGGAACTCATCAATAATATCATGAGATGACCCCGAATTTTATAAAAAGTGCGTGTATCTCGAGTCTAAGGTTCTGCGGGCGATTATTGCAATTTGATATTCTAATGAGCGGCAAATATAGCTTTGCGAACAGAATCAATAATAACTGACTGAATAAAATATTCACTACTGCAGTGCAGACTTTTAGTTAATACAAAATTAAGAATTTTAAGTGAAACAGACATTCTCAAAATGTTTCAAGCAAGATTGACCAAACTGGTATTTGTTTCAATAATTACTAGACTAGTTTTTTTTTTTAAACACAAGGTTACTAATCAATTATCCTTCGTTTTCTACGTCCACTTTTCAAAGAAAGAAGCAAATATGGTGATAATTAT